ATTTTTTTTTTAAAAAAAAATCCCTATTCAAAACCTTGGTGTGTCTTATACTCCAGTGCGTCTTATACTCTGAAAAATACGGTAGATTCAGGAAAAGAATTTTTGCCCTGTGGGGAACATTAGTCCAGCTACAGTGTTAAGGATTTTGAACCAGCAGTTGAAGGCGGAGAGAGAGAGAGAGACATTGCTGAGGAGAGACTGAGATTCTGTGTACAGATGCCTTCCAGTATATTACTCAGATATCTGCATGGATCAGTTTTGTTTTGTGTATTTGGAGAAAAATGCCATCACATTCAGCAGCTCTTGGAATCATCAGCCCAGGGCAATCAGCACAGCTCAGCCCTGCCCGACCCACATCCCAGCTTAGCATCTTCAGTTACTCAGAGACCAAGGCCGGCAGCTTGAGACTGAGACAGCAGGACATTATAGGACAGTGTTGGCGAACACTTTTCAGCACCAAGTGCTGAAACTAGAATGCGCAGGAGCACTGGAAACATAGCTACCCAGTGCGCATACGTGTCAGCCAGCTGTCTTCTGGTTTCCAGCCCGTATGCACATGAAACCAGAACGCCAGGAAGCTGGTCTTTTCGTGCCCGGCGCTCCTGCATGCACAAAGACCAGCTGGCCAGCATGCATGCGCACCCCAGAATCCGAAGAGCAGCTGGAGACGGTGTGCGTGCCCAGAGAGAGGGCTTTGTGTGCCAACTCTGGCACACATGCCATAGGTTCACCATTACGGTTATAGGAGGACAAAAGACCCAACCCTGGAGCCCAGCTAAGCTGCCCAACACAAGAGAAGAGGTGACTGGGACCAGTGAACTGGAGACAACACAACAAACCAATGGGGTTATGGCAGAGTGTGGACGACGGAAGACTGGAGGGTAGGAGCAGTGAGGCTGGTGGCTAGCAGCTGGAGGCAGCATGGTGGTCCAGCAGCATGGCAGCTGGGGACTGAGAAGCAGCAAATGGAGGCAGGCAAACGGCAGCAAGGGCAGCAGCAGAACAAAGGACCAGCATGGCCAGAAGCAAGTGACAGGGGCAGTGAGTGTGGCAGATTTTATATGGGCTATATAGATTCTCATTTGCCCTACAGAATTGACTATTCGTTTTTTTTCTTTTGGATTGGGTTATGTATATCACATCCAGTAGCTGTCATGACCTGGTAATAAAGGGATCGTATAGATTTTGTTTACTTTGAGGATTTCACTGAAACTCTGAAATTCTCATTAAAATTAGTGTATTCTATTACTGCTGTGGGTTGTCAGTAAATTATATCTTGGTCTAGAGCAGTGTTTCTCAACCTTGGCGACTTTACGTCCTGTGGAATCCCCCAGCCTGGGAGTTGAAGTCCACAGGACTTAAAGTCGCCACGGTTGAGAAACACTGGCCTAGACAATGTTCTAATGGCCTGTTACATAGTAATAATAAGAGTATTAATAAAGCTGCATAATGAAATTATTCTACCTTAAAAGCAGTTGAAGGAAAATAAAATCTAAAAATTGATTTAGTGTATTTGCTCATTATAATCAGCCTAATTTTATGAGGGATTGTTACAGATTGGGAGTATACTCATGTTTTAAAATAGCAGTTTTTTATTTGCACGGCTAAAGTCAGTTTTGAATTTGGTATGTGCAGCTGATCACGAGGCTTAAAATTGTGAGAAGGATCACATTAGTAAGCATGGAAATTGCTTTTGTAACTGAACAGCAGACAGCATTTGAGAGGAACATACAATTTCATAAGAAAGGAGAACTGAGAATCAATCTGTCTTTATGCTCCTTATCCACAGAGCTTGCTTAGATTCCAATGAAACTGGTGACCTTTCTAATTGTACTGTTCTGCGGAATTACAACGAAGGTCAAGAATATGGATCTTTTGGAACATCAGAAATGTTAAATTACTCTGTCAATATTTATGATGACGGCAATTTGCTTTCGATTGTGACAAGTGGAGGTAAGACTTTACAAAATTCTAAAATTTATGTACGACCGGTAAATATGTAGTTTGTCTTAATCCCAAAGAAAACTCTTGTCTTAACTTTTAACAACAGATGCATTTTGATAATAGCAAAACACAGTTAGCAACTTATTAAAACAGCAGTGTTTTAATCATGGGATAAATATGTAGGAAGATTGAAAACATTAGTTTAATGACATTGCTTGGGTTGCATAAAATCTTTCATAAGTTTATGGTAATATATATAATATACTATATACTATATATTACATATTACATAATTATGAGCATTATGTAATTATATTTATAAAGAAAAAGCTTTTTTAAAAGAAGCAGTCATTATAAAACAGAAATACAAATGTAAGAAAAAAGCTGAAAAGAGAAAAAAGTACAAAAATGTATTATCATATTTAGAATAAATGATCAATTTTTAAAAGGTCATTAAACCTTGATTGATCAATTTTTTTCACAGATAGAAAGAGTTCAAAAATAGAGTGAAACCATATTGATCCAAGATGGGAAAGACTGTGTAACACAGATTTACAAAGATGAATGTTCAATAAATTTCTATATAATGTTTGAATTAACAGAATAATCGAATTGGAAGGGACCTTGAAGGTCTTCTAGTCCAAACCTCTGCTCAAGCCTATACCATTTCAGACAAATGGCTGTCCAGTCTCTTTTTAAAAGCCTCCAGTGATGAAATACTCACAACTTTTGAAGGCAAGCCACTCCACTGGTTTATTGTTCTCAGTGTCAGGAAATTTTTCCTTAGTTCTAGGTTGTTTCTCTCCTTGGTTTGTTTCCAACCATTAATTAATGAATTAATGATTTTTTAAAATACAACTGTAGGTAAAAAATCTCCATGGAATTGGTTGGCTTTTGAAACCAAATCCATCACATTTGATGATCTTTGATGACAGCTTTCTGCCTTGAGGTGCAGATATAAAATTGGTTCTTAACTGCATTCTGATGATACTTAATCCATATTGGTGGATGATTTATCTATAGTTAATGTAGATATTAAATATGGGAGAGAAGGGCTATGAGGCTTGCCACAACAGAGAGGTCAAAGTACAAACCTTTCTATCCCAACCTGTGGAGGGAGTAGAAAAGGATATTATCACAATCAAATAATATTAGGAGGGTTGAACTCGCCTGTTTTGGTCTCTTCAGAGGTTATCCATAAGCATAATTAATATTGCCTCAGGGAGTGAGAGGATTGGAGACTAAGCAATGATTTGCTAGAATTTCTAGGTTTTGTGATGATTTTCCCAAGGAAGGATGTATGGCCACCTTTATGGCACTTTTAACTACCATCCCGGAGCCTTCCCATCAACAAAAAAGAGCAGTGATCTTGAGTATAAAGTGGCAGATGATATAATGTTCATTTTACTGTAATCTATTTCCAAATTTGTATTAAAATGTATTGCACAGCAGAACTATCAGTCACAATTGATGCAAAATGTGCAGAGAGGTACGAAATATGGCAAGTTATGGATCTCATGGGTCAGGTTGAATAACAATACACTGAATTGTTTGAGTTTTTTTAATGTGAATTCAACTTTTTTTCAGGTGCACATGGAACACATGTTGCTAGTATAGCTGCTGGGTATTTTCCTGAAGAGCCAGAGAGAAATGGTATAGCCCCTGGTGCACAAATACTTGCTATTAAGGTTGGTGATACAAGATTAAGCACTATGGAAACCGGGACTGGCCTTATAAGAGCAGTAAGTATTGGCAAAATCATTGCACAGAAAAACTAATCATAAAGTCTCCCTTTATTTATATTTTCTGAATAGTACTCTAAAATGTTCTTGGGCTTCCTTGATGTCTCTTTTGAGATATGAATAAATGCCTTTCTCAGAATGTTTTCCAAGTTGGCACTAAATGTACATGGCAGTGAACTAAAACAAGTTTTTCTGAAGTAGCTATATTAGCAAAGAATGAATGGTTGTGAAGCATAGGAGGGCCAGTAGTTCATCCTGGCATGCCAAATTTCCTCAAGTCAATGTGATCAGGGCAAATTTGTTATTTAAACATGCTCAGTCTAGCCTCATATGAAACTTCTGCATATTCATCTAAAGACAAGGCCATAGCAATAGTTATTTTGACAGTTAGGAAGGTTTTGGCCTTCTGGCTGAAACCTCCAGTATTTTGCCTGAGATAAGGGAATTGGATACATATTTGGTTGGAAATTCTGTGAGTGTAACTATCTTTTGTCTTCCTTTTTCTAGTTAGGCTGCAATCATGCAATCATATTATTTTTATTTAATAAAAATGAAGAATAACAGAATACAATAACAAAGTTGGAAGGGAGCTTGGAGGTCTTCTAGTCCAACCTCTTGCTCAAGCAGGAAACCCTATAATATGTCAGACAAATGGTTGTCCAATCTCTTCTTAAAAACCTCCAGTGTTGGAGCGCCTACAGCTTGTGGAGGCAAGTCGTTCCACTGATTAATTGTTTTAACCATCAGGAAATTTCTCCTTAGTTCTAGGTTGCTTCTCTCCTTGATTAGTTTTCATCCAGTGCTTCTTGTCCTGCCTTCAGGTGCTTTGGAGAATTGGTTGATCCCCTCTTCTTTGTGGCAGCTCCTAATATATTGGAACACTGCTATCATCTCACCCCTAGTCTTTCTTTTCATTAAACTAAACGTACCATATTTTTCGGAGTATAAGATGCACCGGAGTATAAGACGCACCAAGGTTTTGAAGAGGCAAATTTAAAAAACAGTAGGTAGGTAGACAGAGGGATAGAGAGGAAGAGAAAGAGAGAGAAATACAGTAGGTAGATAGGGAGAGAGAGAGAGAGTAGGTAAGTAGATAGAGGGATAGTGAGAGAGAGAGAAAAAT